TATGAACATCTATTAAGACAAGAGATGTGGTGATGGGCATACATATGATGTGCTTCATGTCCTAATATCATTATGATAATGCAATGCTTGTAATGCTAAGATTAGTGTTATTGATATATACATTCTGGTGCTTTGTTAGGTTGTGAATGTGTTGTTAGGAGTTATTTTAGTGTTACTCTGGCAGGTGGATAGGACCAATTACAGGGGAGACTCTGCCGAAATTTCTGAAAAATTTGGGAGTTAGTAAAATTTTGGGGATTGAGACGTGCGAAAGAAGAGATAAGTTATGTTATGTGTTTGAGGGCATACTCTACTTTTCATTCAAGGGCGAATGATCCTAAGTGGGGGAGAATGTAATACCCCGAAAATTTTTTGAAGTACTTCAATACTATCAAGAAAGTTGATGTGTGCGTAGGCACGAGTTGCTATATCCAGTTGAGACTAATACCATGCGTTGATGTGAAAATCAGGACTTTTAAAAATATCTGGAGTGTAAGAAATTGTTTTTAAAGTTTATAAGTATGTATGAAAGAAGTAATCATCAACTGAGATGGCTTTGTCGGATCCATGTTAAATTTGCGGTGACGTAAAATCACCCGCAAGTTATGTGTGTAAGCATGCCCTCAGTAATTTAATATCCTCAGAATAATTCTTGGCACGTTCGAGGACGAAAGTATGTTTAAGAGGGGGAGAACGTAACGACCCGACTAGTCGTTTTAAGAATTTAAGCCCCGTACATCGACTTAAGGTTCCGAACAACTTCGTAATACGTATTATGACTTGCATGTGTGGTTGGGTTTGGTTTTCAGATGATTTGGGATCAAATTGGGAGAAATATTCTTAATTAAGAAGCTTAGAAGAAAAAAGTTGACCAGAGAGTAGACTTTTGAGCAAACGACTCCGGAATAAAAATTTTATGACTTCAATAGCTCCGTATAGTGCTTTTGGACTTAGGAGTGTGTCCGGATATTTATTTGGAAGTCCGTAGTTGATTTAGCTTGAAATGACGAAAGTTGGAAATAGAAGATTTGGAAGTTTGACTGGGAGTCGACTTTATCGATATCGGGGTTGGAATCCAGTTATGAAAATTTTGATAGGTCTGTTATGTCATTTATGACTTGTGTGCAAAATTTGAGGTCAATCGGACTTGATTTGCTATGTTTCGGCATCGAACCTAGAATGTTTTGACATTGATTCTTCAAGAATACGTGGTATCACATTAAACAAATGAGCTCCGAATTCAGTTTTGATTGAAGCATTAGATCCGTATTGAAATTTTGGAGCCATAGCAAAAAGAATCATTTAATTCGGATATCGTATGAGAGAGTTTTGCCTATTTCTGCATCAAAAATGATTTTCCGTCGCCATCAGCGCCCGGGGTAGCGCGAGGCGCTAGCCCTGGTGCTGGGATGTTTAAAGGTACTGGAAACAATGCCACATGCAGCGCCCCCATGCCACATGTGGTGCCCGAATCAGCCGAACCCCATAAAACAGGGAGTTTTGCCATTTTTACTCATTTTTGAGTTTGGGGAGCTCGGTTTGGGCGATTTTTACGGGTAAACATTGGCGTAAGTATTCCTTATCCTATATTGATTATATTTCATGATTCCATACTCATTTACATCATGAATCCGTGAATTTATGGAAGAAAAATTAGATTTTTGTAAAATCTTCCAAAAATGTAAAATGAAGATTTGAAGGTCAATCTTATATCGGAATTTGATAAAATTAGTATGTGTGGACTCATAATTTAATGGATTATCGGATTTTGTGAGTTTTGTCGGGTTCCAAAATGTGGGCCCCGCTATTAATTTTGAGTTAATTTCGGATTTATATTGTGAAATTTAGCAAATTCATATGGAATTAATTCCTACAATTCGTGTTGAGTATGTTGAATTGTTTATGATTAGATATGAAGCTTTCATACATGAATTCGTGAGGCAAATATTTATTGGAATCTTGAAATTGGTTGCGAAACGAGGTAAGTATCTTGCCTAACCTTGAGTGGGGGAATTACCCCTTAGGTATTGAGTCTTATATGAAAATTGTGTAATTGAAAACTATGTACGCGAGGTGACGCGTACGTACTTGGTTTATATGTGCAAATTATATCGGTTGAAATTCGTAGACGCCCTTATGTATTAAATTGGAAAATTGTTGGAACTTAGTAAATACTTAATTTGTCATGCCTCATTCTTTGTTTGTCAAATTTGTATTTTATATGATAATTTGGTGTTATTTTCACTTGAATTTTTATGTGAATTCTGTGTATTGTTGATTTGATATTTATTGGAAATAATCACATTATAGATTTTTCATCAGTAAATAATTAATTAAATAAGTTTAAATTGAGGCGTTTATCTATTTATCAAAAAGTTGGATTAAAGAAGGCGTTGTCCTGTGATGAGTTATTTTCTCATCCTTGTGGTTATTTTTGAGATTTTATATACGTTGTGTGGAGCCTTGGGATATTTGTTGAGAAATTTATTAATTTTGCTACATATTTAGAATTTGGTTGTGGTCAGTGGCAAATTGTGATATGAATTATTGTATTGTGTTATGGTTTAAACACTCTCCTTGATGTTATTTATGCTTTCTACCTTGCTTGTTAATGATATGCATGTGCTTGGTAAGGAAGAGAGTAAAGCACGAAGGATGATGCCGTGCCATTTGAGAGTGTAAAGCACGAAGGGTGATGCCGTACCATTTGAATTATATTATCATGTGAGGGAGAGTGTAAAGCACGAAGGGTGATGCCGTGCCATTTGAGAGTCTAAAGAACGAAGGGTGATGTCGTTCCATTGAGAGTGTAAAGCACGAAGGGTGATATCGTGCCATTGAGAGTGTAAAGCACGAAGGGTGATGCCGTGCCATTTCAATTATATTATCATGTGAGGATGAGAGTAAAAGCACGAAGGGTGACGCTATGCCATTATTTTTGTATTATCATATGTTCGTGGCACGAAGGGTATTTCCGTGCAGGCGAGGATAAGAGACATACATTATATTGTGATATGTTTTTGTTTTGTATTCATTCAGGCCTTTATCTTGAGATGTTATTGTGCACCTATGTTTCTATGTGACTTGTAGTCGTTGTTGCTTGATGTATGCCTCCCACTTTATTTCTTTTATTGTTATTTCTATTTCTCCTACCTAGTTGGTACTGTTATATGTATGCACGGTAAGAAAGAGATAAATGAACGAAGGGTGTTGCCGTGCCAATTGATTTGGTCTACATATATACATTGGGTGAGAATGAGACAGGTGCACAAATGTATTGCCGTGCCATTTGATGTGATATATTGAATATATTTCTCACATCAGGAAAGTTAAATGAGGTGTCGCATGGTGACTTTTACTCGAAAGAATTATATTCGAAAGATATTTATTTGAAGGAATTATATTTGAAAGAGATTTATTTGAAAGAATTATATTTGAAGATAGTTATTTGAAGGAATTATATTTGAAAGAGATTTATTTGAAAGAATTATATTTGAAGATATTTATTTGAAAGAATTATATTTGAAAGAGATTTATTCGAAATAAGTATATTTGAAAAATATTTATTTGAAGGGAGTATATTCGAAATATATTTATTTGAAAGTATTATTTGAAAAGCATATAGGCGAAAGATTTATATTTAAAAGACTTGATTAATTGGTTGTACTTGTATTCATTATTTGTTGAGCAATATTAATGGTATTCTTGTTGTCCTGCTGTGTATATCACTGGTTGATTAGTGTTGTCATCATTGTTATTTGTTTTCTATTATATTTTGTATACTATATTGCACAGGTTATTAGACTAATGCGTGTCTTGATTGTACCTCGTCACTACTCCACTGAGGTTAGTCTTGATACTCACTGGGTACCGACTGTAATGTACTCATACTACACTTCTGCATATTTCTTTTTGCAGAGTCAGGTATTGGAGATATCGGACTCAGATAGAGTTAAAGTGTGATCGCAAGTATTCAAGGTAGAGCTGCTTGGTCGTCGCAGTCCCTTGGAGTCTTTCCATTTTTATTATACTGTTAATTTCTTATTCGAACAGTATTGTACATTTGGTCCTCGAGATCATTCCATATATTCAGTTAGAGTTTATGACTCAGTATTACCAGTCTTGGGAGGTTGTTTGAATATTTTCGTTGTTGGTTTCGACATGTGTATTCGATTATCTATTTCAATAAAATAATGGCTTGAATTGTTATTATAATCGGCTTACCTAGTCGTAGAGACGAAGTGCCATCACGATACCTATGGTAGGATTTTGGGTCGTGACAATATCGTAATCTTAATGTATTCTTGTTAGATTGATTCCATAGGAATATAGGCATTAATCTATTTTGAATAGGTGAGTAGTAATTCGGGAGAATACTACGAGAGCAATTGTTCGATTAATTAGCAGCCATGAGTGAATTGTATGAAAGGGAGAGTTGATTAGAACACAATAGGATTGGTGAATCGATCGCAACCCTGGAATATTTATCTCGACTGAATACACAACAACTATTTTGCTGTTTGATAAATTAGTTACTTGTCAGAATTATTACTTAGTATAATTACACCTTTGAACTCTGATTGACTAGACTAATAATAATTTTGGTGAAACTAGTGGGTAGTTAACACAAGTCTCTGTGGGTTCGATACTCGATTTATTACTTATTACTTGTACGACCACGTGTACTTGCGTGTGCATTTGGGAGCAACAAGTTTTTGGTGCCGTTTCCGGGGATTTGAATATTGACTACTTCCTAGCTTTTACTTTAGTTGTTTATTTCATCAAGCCTAACATTTCTTATTGGTTGCTTTGCTTTCAAGAACTTTAATTGAATGCGAAGGGTCAGAAGCCAAGATAGACTTCAAAGCTTTGACCCCGAACCTGAGAGAACTTTTCACATGAGGTTGAGGAAAGCAAGGGACACATATAATCTTCAGGCACTTGTTCAACTACCCGAGAACGTGGCAGAGGAGCAACATATGGTTATTTAGGAGGTGGCGATGCCCAGCATTGCTAATGTCACCTCCAGCATTGTGAAGCCCAAAATCACTAGGTACTTTGAGCTGAAACAGAGCATGATCCAGCTACTACATGCAAATGAGGAGTTTATGGGTGTTCCACACGAGGATTCACAACAGTACATCCTAAACTTCTTGGAGATTAGTGATACTTATATCACTAATGGAGTCACTCCAGACTATGTGAGGCTCACACTATTCCTGTTTTCTCTAGTGGGCGAAATAAAGCGATGGTTGAAGGCAGAACCAGCTAATTCTATTACATCATGGAATAATCTGGTGAGGAAATTTTTGGCACGGTTCTTTCCATCATGCAAAACCGCAAAGATCAAAAGTGAGATAGTCACCTTCAAACAGAAATCGGGGGCGTCTCTGTATTCAGCTTTAGAGAGATTCAATGGGCTGCTCAGAGATTGTCCTCATCACAACCAGACAAATGAAGTGTTAGCTCACACCTTCATAGAAGGGCTCCATCTAGAGATAAAAATTGTGGTGGACGCTGCAGCGGGAGGTCAAATGTTGGAGAAACGTTTTGATGAAATTTATTCCTTATCGAACAAATTCACCAAAAGTAATCCTGACTGGAAAGGAGAGATAGGCAGACACACAGTGCAAATATCTGTAGGGGTCCTCGAGTTAGATGTTATCTCTGCATTATCAGCACAGGTTGTCACATTGTCCAACCAAGTCAATAAGATGACCTTGGTTATTAACAAACAACAAGCTCAGCCAGTGCAACAGGTTCAGAAATTTTGTGAAGTATGTGGAGAGGGTCACACGAGCGACTTATGCCCAGCTAATCCAGAGTCTGTCTATTTTGTGGGTAATGCAAATAGGGGTCAGACAAACCAGTATGGGAACACTTACAATCCTAACTGGAGGAACCACCCAAATTTTTTTTGGGGTGGAAACCAAGGTGCTCAGAATCAGTACATGCCACAAGCTTCTCAACAACAATATAGACCACCACAGGCTGAACAACCTACAAACTCGACGAGTCACATTGAGGAGATTCTAAAGAAATTTATGGTTGACCAGCAGGCATAAGCAGAAGTGATGAGAAATTTGGAGAGACAAATGGGGCAACTTGCCAGTTCCCAAAACATTCGACCAGTTGGAGCTCTTTCAAGCGACACTAAGGCTAATCCTAAGGCATCTATTAATGTTGTGTCATTGAGGAATGGGAGACAGTTAGAAGAAGTCCCATCGAAAAGGAGAAAGCAAGTGACCTTTAATGATAAACTATCCACCATAGAAGCAGAATCAGAAAAAGCAAAGGAGTCAGAGAAGCCAGCTGAGGAGGCGGTGGCTAAGCAACCCCTACCCTTAGTTGCGAGGCCAACACCTCCGTTCCCTTATAGATTGCAGAAAGTGAAGGATAATGCCGCTTATAAAAAATTTCTTGATATTTTGAAGTAGGTGCAAATCAATATTCCGCTGATAGACATCTTGCAAGAAGTGCCCATATATGCCAAATACATCAAAGACATAGTGGAAAATAAGAGGAGGTTGGCAGAGTTCGAGACTGTGGCACTCATTAAATAATGTAGCTCAAGAATTCAAAGCAAGCTACCTCAGAAATAAAAGGATCCAGGTAGTTTCACTACCAAAATCTTGATTGGTAAGCAAGTAGTCGGGTGAGCTTTATGTGATCTTAGGCGAGCATCAATTTGATGCCGCTATCTGTTTCCAGACAATTGGGGTTGGGTGAGCCGTGCCCAACCACAGTGATTTTACAGTTGGTTGATCACTCTGTTGCTCATCCTGAAGAAGTGATTGAAGATGTGTTAGTTCAAGTGGGTTCTTTCATATTCCCTACTGATTTCATTATCTTGGACTATGAGCTTAATCAGGAAGTCCCATTTATTTTGGGGCGTCCATTATTAGCCATGGGCTGAGCTATTATTGATGTATGTGAAGGAATGATGACAATGAGAGTGGGTGATCGAGTGGAGGTATTTAATGTGTATAAAGCACTTAGATTGCCAGTCCACTATGAAGAGCTATCCATGATTTTTGCGGTGGAAAGTGAGGTGACTTCATTGGTGCCTTATATGATCCCCACATATCCTCTTGAATGAGCCTTGATGGGGGATGAAGAATATAATGAAGATGAGATGCTGGAAGAAATTGAGCAAGTCCTTAACATGTCTTGCAAATATGTCCATGGGCTTGGGAGGTTCGAGGAGTTGGACATACCTGCTACTCTGATCCCTCCTAAACAATCTATTGAAGAAGCTCTAAAGCTAGAGCTCAAGCCCCTTCCAGCGCATCTGCGCTATGCTTACTCGGGGACTCTGAAACATTGCTAGTGATTATCTCATCCATCTTGACCGATGTGCAAGAAGAAAAGTTGCTTAGAGTGCTTTGTGAGCATAAAAAAGCTATTGGGTGGACAATTGTTGATATAAAAGGAATCAGTCCATCATTTTGTATGCATAAATTCTTTCTAGAAGATGGACACCGCCCCAGTATTGAGCAACAAATGATATTAAATCCCATTACGAAAGAGGTCGTGAAGAAGGAAGTAATTAAGTGGCTTGATGCAGGTATCATCTTCCCTATTTCTGACAGTAACTGGGTGAGCCCAGTGCAATTTGTGCCTAAAAAAGGGGGGATGACTGTTGTAGAGAATGAGAAAAATGAGCCAATTCCTACTCGCACCGTGACGGGGTGGAGAGTTTGCATTGACTACAGAAGGCTTAACAAAGCAACCCGCAAGGACCACTTCCCACTTCCATTCATTGACCAGATATTGGATAGATTGGCTGAGCATGAATATTATTGCTTCCTTGATGCTTATTCGGGGTACAACCAGATTTCCATATGCCCAGAGGATCAGGATAAGACCACTTTCACATGTCCTTATGGTATATTTGCTTTCAAGCGAATGCCATTTGGTCTTTGTAATGCATCGACCACTTTCCAAAGGTGTATGATGGCCATTTTCACTGATATGGTGGAGAATTTTGTAGAAGTCTTCATGGATAAATTTAGTCTTTGGATCTTCTTATGATGAGTGTTTGAAGAATTTAGGCAAGGTGCTGGCCCGTTGTGAAGAAACAAATTTAGTACTAAATTGGGAAAAGTATCATTTTATGGTACAAGAAGGGATCGTGTTGGTCCATAGAGTATCAAAGAGTGGCATTGAAGTTGATAAGGCAAAGGTGAAGGCAGTTGAAAAATTACCTCCACCGATTCCTGTGAAGGGTGTACGGAGTTTCTTGGGACACGCGGGGTTTTATAGACGCTTTATTTTCAAAAATTGCTACTCCTTTGTGCAGGTTGCTTGAAAAGGATGTCACCTTCAATTTTGATGAAGCCTGCCTAAAGGCATTCGAGGAGCTCAAAAAGAAGTTGGTGGATGCCCCCATTATTATGGCACTGGATTGGTCCTTACCATTTGAACTTATGTGCGATGAAAATGACCATGTTATTGGGGCAGTGCTAGGCCAGAGGAAGGACATGATGTTTTACTTCATATACTATATGAGTAAGACTCTTGATGATGCACAACTAAATTACACCACCACTGAAAAGGAGTTGTTGGCCATTGTGTGGGCCTTTGAGAAATATCAGACATACTTGGTGGGAACAAAAGTTATAGTCCATACCAATCATGCAGTAATCAGGTATCTATTTTAAAAAAAAAGAATCCAAGGCTGGATTGATGCGCTGGGTTTTGTTGTTGCAGGAATTTGATGTAGAAATACGAGATCGGAAGGGCATAGAAAACCAAGTAGTCGACCATCTATCAAGGCTGGAAAATCATGAGCACGAGAAGGAAGGTAGACAAACTAAGGAGGCATTACCTGATGAGCAGCGTGGGGCGCTACCCTGGGCGCTGGTGACAGGAAAGTTCTCCTAGTTCGCCCGGGACTAGGTTATTTCGGCCCAAGACCACCCCAACTCGTATAAAAGTAAGACTAAGCCTATTTTGAGAGGGAGATGCCACTTTGAGGGAAGAATACACACGAGGAACATCCGAGAACGAGGATATCTCAGTTTTCTTCATCTTTTCTTAGTATTCTCAATTATTCAACACTTGTGTATTTGTTTTGATATTATCATGAGTGGCTAAACCCCATAGTTCTCGGGTTGTGATTTAGCCATGAATATTATTGTTTAAAGTTGAGTTAACCTTGATTACAATTTACTAAGATATGGTTGTTTCTTTAATTTTGTGATTAATTGCTTAATTGTCTGGATAACAGTTAGGTTCTATTTACTATCTATGCTATGCTTGAGAACGTTGCTTCTATATTAGACAAAAATTGAAGATGGCATGATCTTAACTCTGAGTGGGGGGGGGGGGGGAGGTTGTGGTTAAGATAGGAATATACCTAGTTAACGTGCTTAATTGAATATCATAATCTTAATGCGTTCTTAATAGATTGATTCCATAGGAATATAGGCGTTAATCTATTTTGAATAGGCGAGTAGTAATTCGAGAGAATACTACAAGAGTAATTGTTCGATTAATTAGAAACCATGAGTGAATTGTATGAAATGGAGAGTTGATTAGAACACAATAGGATTGGTGAATCAATCGCAACCCTAGAATATTTGTCTCGACTGAGTACACAACAACTATTTTGTTGCTTGATAAATTAGTTACTTGTTAGAATTATCGCTTAGTATATAATCACACCTTTGAAATCTAATTGACTCGACTAATAATAATCTTGGTAAAACTAGTGGGTAGTTAACACAAGTCTCTGAGGGTTCAACACTCGATTTATCACTTTATTACTTGTACGACCATGTATTCTATGTGAAAGTATTTTATCAGGAACAAAATTCAGAATTAATAAAGACTTTTGACATAACTGTCAGATATTTCCAATTACCCAAATTATTCTTTCAATGAGATAGAGTTCACATATCTTTATATTTTTAATCTCCTTATTTGTTTTTGGTTGATGTCCTTAAGCGTAAAAATGAGAATATTAAAATTACATAGTTTCCAAAAAGAGAATTGTATCATTTTTTATACGAAACAAACTAAAACGAAAAGATATCGAATAAAATTAAATTTCAAATGTATGAACTACTTTTTCAGAAATACAATTTGAGCGGGTAAAGAGATTGTTAATGTGATGATCTGGTCGTTCGTCTTGTGTATTTGAGCCCTATTTTTCTATTTGATGTTCTTCATGTGCTTGTTTGTTGTTTTGTGACTTGAAAGGATGGTTGGTTTAATTTCGAGAAGGATTGAGAGTGAATAGGAACACTTAGTTCTATTTTGGATAGCTTAAGTTATTAGAACTGATCAATGTTTGACTTTTGACTAGACGACCTCGGATTGGTACTTTTATGGATCCAAATAGGTTCATATTATGATTTTGGACTTAGAGGTATGTTCGGATTTGGATTTGGAGGTCGTTGGAGGGTTTTAGCTCTATTTACCGAAAGTTGGCAACTTGAAGGTTTGGAAAGTTTTAAGGTTTGACCGGGAGTTGACTTTGATGTTATCGAGATCCGATTGGTATTTCGAAAGTTGACTTTAATATTATCGGGATCGGATTGGTATTCCGGAACTTTGGTTACGTTCGTTTAGTTGATTAGGATTTGTAAGTTTGGTTAGAATCTGGAATTTTTGGGCGTGATTCAGACATGTTTGACGAAGTTGGAAGCTTGAAAGTTAAGAGGTGAATTTTGATCGTCAATTCTTGATTTCGATCTTTGTTGTGGTATTTTGAGATTTTAGATAAGTCTAGCAGGAAAGGGAGGGAAATAAGGTAATAAGACTTGTTAGTATGGTTAATGGGGGCTCGTGTGTATTTTGAATTGATTCCGGATCATCATAGTGATTATGAACAGTTCTGGTGCTGGTGTGTTGCACCTATAATAATTTTTGTGCAGGTGCGAGACCACAGAAGTGGGGATTTGAGTTGCACCTGCGAGGAAGAATTTTGGGCTTGAGGCCCGCAGATGCGAAGGTGTGGTCGTATCTATGGTATGGTAGAAATAATGGGTTGGTCGCATTAGCCCCTTCGCAGAAGAGAGGGATGTGCGCAGAATCGAAGGGACGACTAGTTAAGTGA